ATTATAGTCATGGCTGACAATTAATTTGATAAAGAAACTATCACATAACTTTGAAATTTGACTTCTTGAAAGTTGTGAAAGTAATTTAAATGGAATATGTCAAACATTTTGGGACATCCCAAAGCTATTAAGTGTATCATGTCTATTGGGACGGAAGTAATTGTAATTAGTAGGTATTATATCTTTGCTAATGAAGATGATGTTGCAATTGACACAATTCCAACTGGATTGGTGCAGTGTCAGTTTCGGCTGACGGTCGGAGTAAGTTTTTCCATTTTACCCAAAGGTCTAAAGAAGTCATGACGCAGATGTTTACTGACTAATTTTTTGAAGCCATATGTTATGAAACAACTCACAGGATCATCTTCTTGATTGGGATGTGATCTAGATAGCCCCCTAGTCGAATACGATAGAAAGAATCTCATCACTGTGTCTCCAACAATTTTATCTCCTCCTTGAATCCTAGAGTATAGCGTGACCTAGGGACAAACTCACTGCTCCATTGAAGTTTTTTGAACTTGGGAGCGACTTCTCTTTTATTTGCTTTGCCCCCTTAATATTCATTTTCTGAAATAAAAAGTTTCTGTTCTTTTTATTTACAAAACAATATAGGGTATTAATAAAATTCTGTTAATTTGAAGACATGGAAGACCAAATTCCCATGACCAGCCTATTTGACTGAAGATGTAATGCAGAATTTGTTTTACTTGTAAGAGGGTATCTAAAAATCTTGACGCACATGATTTGACGGCATGCATTATGTACTCATGTAGATTCAATTATGGGAGTTGGATAAAGTGGATTGTCTACTGATCTATGATTCTATGATCACCGAACTAGCCAGCTCGATCTAGAACTAAATGAAAGAGTTATGCCTAGGATTAGCATGTGTAGGCAGGGATGTATTTGTTTTTTATATGGTCAACCAAGCCAAGTGAACCAGATTGTTTTTGATCTCAACTAACTAATAAAGATATAATTCGTCTGAAAGGGAACAGAATTTATGTAAGGGGATACTTACTGAAAAAATGGACTTACATGTTGAATTGAGAAAAAAATAGAGGCATTGATTTCTGATAAGGCTGTAGAAATAGATGATGCCAGCCCCTTTATTCTTTGCATGCTCATTATTTGGTTGTCTTAATGTTTTTTTTTTTAACTTTACCAGAACAGAATAATAAAAGAATTGTTCTAGCTCTTCAAAGTGGATTAAAGAGGGAGCTGACATGGGCATTAAATACCCTCACTCTGCTATCATTCAAGGAGAAAGACGAAGTCCGCAGGGATGCGACTCCTCTCGCCAAAATTCCTGGATTGCTTGATGCTCTGCTTCAAATTGTATGTTTCTTGATATCTACCACACAACATGATTCCCATGTAACTTCTGCTTGTTCTTTACTGTTTATTCTATTATCATGCTGATGATGACAATATTTCTATTAAACAGATAGATGATTGGCGTGATATTGCCTTACCAAGGGTACTTGTAAAGGCACCGCGTGTCCGGCTTTTGGGTGCAAATTCAGTCGTTACTGGATTTGGACTTGAATATGAAGCATTGAACTCGAATGAATCTGTTCTCAATCCTAGGTAATTCTAGACGGTTTCAAAACCCCATCTCTTTCTTTTCAATGCCTTTATTACTTTAATCTTTTTACGTTAATTATTTCCACTGCATGAGATCTCTGTAATGGTTTGTAATCCTGGTTCTGGAGCTGCCAACAGAGAGTCATCTGTTCAGAAGAGTTCTACCAAGTCTCGCCCCATGGGTTTGTGGTTTGAGGAAGATGGCCTATTTAATTTGGATGAGGAGGGGCGGATTGAAAAACAGCAGTTTGCTGTTGCTGCTTCAAACGTTGTTCGCAACTTCTCTTTTATGCCAGATAATGAAGTCATCATGGGCCAGCATAGACATTGCTTAGAAACTCTATTCCAATGTCTGGCAGATTATGTCACAGGTAGGAGTGAAGTTTAGTTTGATATTTATGATCTCTATGTTGTGCTTACAAGCTTGCCATCTATGACGTGGCACTTTTCTTTGGGAAGTTATAATGTTGATATATATGGTTTCTGTGTTGCGCAGTTGTGCTTACAAGCTTGGCATTTGTGATATGGTTATTTGTATAGTAATGGTCCCCTCACCTAATACATTTACTACCCTTTTTTCTTAAGTCTTGATGGTTATAAGATGTTAATTTTGTCTTTCTTGACGAGTCGGCTTCTTCATTATGCCTTGTATTTCCATTGAAAACCTATATGAATCCTTTAGAACATATTCCAGACTGCGATATAGCTTTCAGACCTGTTCAGCCTTTCCTCCTCACAAAACTATTGAATGACTCGTGCTTTTCTGGTTGATGCTTCCAATTCAAAGCTTGAATTTAATGTTTCTCCACTAGCTTGGTGAAGTCTAAAGAAAGGTCTTGGAGTATATTAGAAGTGACCTATCCATTGTGTAACACATTGATTTTGCTATTTTTTTTATTGTTCCTAATCTCTGGACTTTGTTTTTTCCCTATTCCATAATTTCGATAAACTTGTTTATATTCACCCTGCATCCCAGTGTGCTTCCTGGCCTTTTAAAGGATACCTTAAAAAGAAGATATAAGAAAATTAAATTAGATAGGTCCTATTCTGAGCAGAGAAAAAGCAATTGGAGTATGTTAGAAAATGCAGTTCTCTATGCCTGAACATGTGTTTTCTGTAATTTTCTGTTAAGCTCGTTTCTTATACATTTTGTCATCTTTTCTCTTTTATGATAACAGAGGATGAAGAACTTGTCACAAATGCTCTCGAGACTATAGTGAATATAGGTCCATTGATAGATCTTCGGATCTTCAGTTCCTCAAAACCTTCTTTTATCAAAATGACGTAAGAGTATCACTTGTAGTTATTATTTCTCTTATATTATTGCATGTCAACACAGTAATTGAGTTTCTTGATCCTTATGCAGGGAGAAACGTGCAGTACAGGCCGTCATGGGAGTGCTAGGATCTTCTGTTAAGGCCTGGCATTGTGCTGCTGCTGAATTAATTGGTCGTCTTATAATAAATCCTGATAATGAACCTTTCTTACTTGCTTCTGCAACACAGGTTGATCTTGTTTTTGACAGGCCCTATTCTAGAGTTCCTAAATGTACTCTGTGAATATTCAGAAAACCTGTTGACTTAAATTTGTGGCTCGCAGATTAATAAACGTTTAGTTGATATCATGAGCCAACCGGCCATTGATGCTCAAGCAGCTGCTATTGGTGCATTATATAACCTTTCAGAAATAAATATGGACTGCCGTTTGAAGCTTGCTAGTGAACGATGGTGAGACAGGCAATCTGACCAAGTCATAACTTTTTATTAAGTTATTATCTGAATGACTTATCCACAACATTAAACTTCAGGGCTATTGATAGACTGTTGAAGGTCATTAAGATGCCACATCCTGTGCCAGAAGTGTGCAGGAAAGCAGCAACGATTTTGGAAAACCTTGTTTCAGAGCCACAGAACAAGCCCTTCCTGCTAGTGCATGAAAATGCATTTGCGGAGATGCTTTTTGGTGACCCAAGATACTCAGACATATTTTCCAGGATACTGTACGAACTGACATCACGGCCAAGCAACAAAATGGCATCAGCTCGAGGGATCTGGGGCATGTAACATCAAAACACACAAGGTACTTTATTTGGTGATAATTCATCTGAAACATGTTGTACATAGATTTAAATGTGATTAGTTAAGCATATGATTTTGTTCTAAACCTAACTTTTAATTGACCTCAGAAGTGCAATATATATGTTACTATAGGTTTGCCATTTCTGGCCTTCATTTTATTCGAAGCTGTTAGAACTTTGAATCACTATTTGCTTATACAAAATTAAGAAATACAATTCTTGCATCACTATTTCTTATCCATTGCAGTTATCTATATATAATGAACTCCTTTAAGTTTTCTTCGGTTTAATGCTTCAAAATTTCTGTTATTTTGACCCTTCAATCTAGGTCATGAGTGATGAGCTATTAGGTTTCCAAGTCTATTGGCCAAAAGAATTAAGTTCAAGTCCTCACATTTTCCGACTCGTACATCAAAATAAATTAGCCTCTGTAATGTGTGTGGTAAATGAATCGGATATTGCTTACTTTATTGATGAGAATATACCATATGATTGATGTACTTGTATATGTTTCACTTATTAAATTGATTACTTTTCTCATAGTAGATAAACTATAGTAGTGCAGGTTGAGTATGACAGCAACTAAAGTTCTTTTGCGCCCCTTGTGTCTTCTTTGAAATTGATCTATCCGTCTCATTATGAACAGGGGCGGATCTAGGGCTTTGGGAGGGGTTTTTCGGGAACCCAGTAACATTTGCGCATATCCAGTATTTATATTGAGAAAATATATAAGAAATATGTGTTGGGAACCTAGTAACAAAGCAGCATGAGGTTCAGTGGCAGAAATGGAACCACTTGAAGTTTTGTTACCCTCCTTGATGAGGTTTTCAATTCCCTTGGACACTTATAATAGTATTTATTTTTTAATAATTTTAGATCTCTAGGAACCCATAAGCTTTAAATTCTTGATCCGCCTTTGATTATGAAATAGATTTCATAATATATCTCTGAGTCTGGATAAAAGGACAACTTGACCAACTAAGATGATCAGTATTAGATTTAATACTGCTGTTCTGAATGATAGCATTCATGCAATCCAGTTGACAACTTTCGTAAGCTTTACTTGTCTTATGAGAGTAGGAAAAACAAGTTTCATAAAAGACATTCCACACTATTTGAGTAATTAAAATTGAAAGTAATTTACAGCATTGACCATAAAAGAATAGGGTTTTAGCCATCTTCTTTATATCCAACTTTTAGAGTAGGAAAACTGTTCTCATATAACAAGTAACACCAACTAAAATTGATATGAAAAGTAGAAACAACCATAAGCAATAGAGAAAACTAATACGAACTGCATTATTCAGAAATTTGTGAAAGGTGTATGCAGCTTGAGTTAGACCTTCTTCTCTTGACCTCCTTCCTTTTTAACCTTTACTGGAGGATCTTTAAAATGGATCATTGAGGTTGTGATGGGCTTCATATAGACTCCAAAACTCTCAACACCAAGATGGTGTTTGCTGCCGTGGAAACCACCCAAAGAAGGATAATTTCCCATCTTAAAGGTGAATTTGTTAGGATCAGCTTTCGGGGCTCCAAATGGTCCATAGGAACCCATATTGGTTCCAAATGATATTGAACTCAAAATAGAATATCCATAAGCTTTTCGGAATGAACCACTTATGGAAGTAAGAAACTCTGTTGGATAATCAAATGTCACTGCACAAAAGCTTTCACATTCATTAGTGCCATGCTTGTTTGACAATACGAATTTGCCATTCTCATAGAAGACGAACTGCAGTGAGAAAACTGTGTCATATTTGTAGGAAACAAAAATCTGGGCTACTTCGGTTCGTCCCGTTTCATACCAAAGGGTTCCTACTTGTACTCCTACTGGACCAACTGTGATCATATCCATAGTTCTTCTGTATGAATCAATTGGATTAGCTTTTCTTTGAGACCTCTCATGTTGGAATTCCTTCTTTTATCTTAAATTATAAGGAATCTAATTCTTTGCTTATTAGGTTAAGGTTAACCTTTTCACTGTAGTTATTGTTTCTCTTCTTTTAATCTTGAATTAGGTATCTGATTCTTTGTTTATGAGGTTAAGGTTGCCCTTTCACTGTCGTCACACGTTACTATTTTTTCTTTCAATCTCGAAATAGGAATTTGACTCCACTTATGAAAATATGATTAATTTAATTTCTCAAGTTAACGTTACCCATTTTGATTGGCCTGATCCAGCAATTTAAAAGTGGGTCATTTGCACTTCTGTTCCTAATTTAGTTTTTGTCTTTTGGAGAAATTACGCGGATAAACAAACATATACTAGTTAATTAGTTAACATAGTCATAGTTTTCATTAATTACCACTCGCAGTTCAATTTTAGCTATAATTGCATCGCTTCTCTCCTCTCTTCCTCTTTTATACATATACAAATTATACATATACATATACAATTATATGACAGATATACAAATACAATTAGCCTCTCTCCACTCGCTGCCCTCTTCCAATCTCGCTCGCCTCTCTCCTCCCTTTAACATGTACTACAAATTGTAATTACCAAACTATTGCTATGGAGCGTGATTAAGTTTATTTAATGGTTATTTGTGAAATTTCCTCTTTTTACCTCTCTAGGCAAACTATTTTTTTTTTTTTTGCAGGGGTTAACTTAGATTTTTGTATCATAATATCTTACAAGTTATGCATGTGCGTTTAAAGAACTTGTGTCTAGATAGGCATACATTCGAGCTAAAGTTATGCACGTGTCTTTAAAGAACTTATGTCAAGCTAGGCATAAGTCATAACTTCGATTGCTTAGGGCAAAAATTAAAGTACAACCCATTTGGAGGGTAAATTGTGCAATTAAATGTTATTGGCCTGATGCGGTCTAAATTGACCTATTTATGGAAACCATTGTCAAAATATTTTTGAAAAGATATTTTTGTGTGATATGTTAGTCATATTAAAGAAAATGTTCTAAACTACTTCCTTTTTGAGGATTTGGACGATGATCATATTATCAAATGCCAATTAATAACTTGCTCTGCAAGAAACTGGTGAGACGTTTAACAAGAAATACACATAATTAAGCTAATATACATTTGGAGAAATGGGAGTCAAAGTAGCAACTTTGTTGCAAACAAACAACAAACACACAAAGCATGATGAAAAATGCGCTCAAGGATATGGAGTTTCTTCTCGCACTTTGTTAACTTGGGCTCTTACTTCTGGTAAGTAGAGTAGATAGCAAATTCGTCTTCTTCTTCTTTACAATGGATCTTCATATAAATCCCCATACTGTCAATGTAACCACCACTTGTGCTACCGTAAAATCCACCAAAAGTAAACTGATTTCCTATCTGAAAGTTAAAATGTTTGACATTAGTAGACGACGGATTCCCAAATGGTCCATACGAACCCTTGTTGGTTCCAAAGCTGAGAATAGTACTGTTTCCATCCATTGATGATCGGAAGGAACCACTTACCGAAGTAAGAAACTCCGATGGATAATCAAAAGCAACTGAATCTAAGTTTGAACTGTCAGCACCTTTGCTACCGTGTTTTTGAGACAGTAATTTGCTATACTCATCGTAGAAGAGAAAGTGAAATGAATATAAACTGTGTTACAATCATAGGAAATGAAAATCTGTGCTATTTCTCTTGGTCGTTTTTCATCCCAAATGGTTGCAGATCGTCCTTGTTTGCCAGCTGGACCAACTTTGATCATATCCATATCTCTTCCTTTCTGATCAATAGCAGCAACTAAAAGATCAGACCATATAAAGAGGCTTTTTTTTTTCGTTGAGACGTTTCAGTAGTAAGACTCAAGAGGCCCTTCAGTGTCCTCATACCTTGGTATTTGTTTTTTTTAAATCTCGAAATAGGAACCGGACTCTTCGTTTATAGAGTACTTCCTCTGTCCATATTAAGTGAATTGTTTGACATTTTTTTCATAGTTCAAAATAAGTAAATTTTTCAAAGGTCAATAGAATTGTTGGAATTGTCATGTTGTGTTTTTTAAAAGTTAATTTGACTAATTTTTAAAGTTAAATTAAATTATATTAATTTGATATTTTAAACAAAAAAATTGGATATTCAAAAACTATATGAAAAGTACTATAAAGTGCAATTTTTTGCATATCAATATGATGAGAAAATACATCGTAAATTATTAGTCAAATTCTTATAGTTTGTCTCTAAAAAAGGAAACTATGACAATTAAAAATTAATGGTGGGAGTAGTTAATTACTGGACACTCAACAAACAAAGAAATTAAATGGTGATCTTAAAAATAAGACACTCCATCTGTTCACTTTTACTTGTCACTTATTTCTAAAATAAATTTTGGATAATGCTAAATGACTAGAATTTTAAAAAAATTATAATATCTTTTTTATTTAAAATAAACTGATCCTTTTTCCATTTTTTAGTTAAAAAGGTAAAAATATATTAAAAGGTAAAATAACATAGGTAAAATACCATTCTGGCCATCTGACCAATTTTTCTAGCCAAAAAGATATTTCCATAAATTTTTATCTTTACTTGTCATTTTTGACATATTAAGAAAAGACAATTTTTTTTTTTCATGTTTTAACCTCGAACATTAAATACTTATTTTCTAGTCCAACAATAGTTGTCCACTATTGACTTGGCACATCCCTTAAGAAACTATAAATAGAAGAGTAATTTTACTATATCACCATTTGAATATAATAAATACAATGTCTTGAAAAATGTAACATGAAAATAATTATAATTAATGATAAAGGTAAATTATGAACTATGTGTAAAATTATCCATGAATTTCATAAAATGGACAAGTATTGTTGGACGGGAGAAAGGTCTAATACTAAACATAATTTAATAGAAATAGTTTGATAAAATACTTATGTTAATAATTGTTTTCTTAAAGGATATTCCAAATCAAACAATAACAAGTAAAAATGAACGAATAGACCCGATCCATTAGCAATTCAACACTCATTTTCAAAATCAATAAATGTAATTTACAAGAAATTTAATGGTAGAAAATTTCACCCGTCCCAATTGGTTTTCATGCATGTTTACCGTGATATTACTCGCTGTAAGTGAATTAACAAGCAGTGGTTTGTGTCTGTTACGTGGTGTCATACTTAATTATGATGGTCGTTTAAAGTGTAGAACTCAACTCTCCGTCTGTCTAACAATATTTGTCACTATTAACTTTTTGCACACTTGTTAAACTTTCAAATTATATTAGTTCCATGCATTAACTAAACTGCATAGGAAGTAAAATTAGAGAGGTAAGTATAGTCCCTTAATGCATTTTTGCTTGATCAAATAAACCTCAAGTTAGAGTGTCTTGTAAACCATTTGGAGTCAAATAAATTTGAAAGAGAAGTAATTTTTTTCATAGGGCTTTGGTCTCCATTTATAAACATAGGTTAACAAAATATCAGAACGTATACCTAGTTCTGTAGAAATCAATCAGTAGGACTGACTGAACTTGCCAAAAGAATACTATACAAAATAGTATGATCAACTATCTTTTGAGATTAAAAAAAATAGAGTTTAAAAATTGATCACATTAGCAGCTAAACAACCTTGTCATCACAGTTCTTTCTTGGCGCGTCGTGTTTTGGAAGTGGAAGCTGGGCTTGATATCTCCTTAAATGCGGATGGGCAGAATTTACTTATTGTACATTTTGCACAGCGAGGTCTCAGAGGAGTACATATGGTCTGTCCAAAGCCTACCTGTTTTTCAAAATCCAAATGAACTTTAGTTAATCACTAGAGAGGGGCAGATAAAATTCATCTCAATTGATCAGTCCGTTCCTCTTTTCTGGTATACATTTGGGTGACTAATCCAGATTCAACCATGCATTGGCCCATATTGGGGAAGCGCTGGGGTTTCTCTGTTCCCGGGGTTGAATCTGAGACCCTTGATTAAGGGTGGAGAGATGACATCCATCCGTCTCACCACACCCCTTGTTAGTAGTTGACATGTCCTTACTTTGACTAGTTTAATATTGGACACGAAGTCAGTTTTTGAACATTTTGTTGTAAAAGCAAGTCAAACTCAAAGTGTACTTTTTTGGTAATTGATTATCAAAGAACATTGAAGACCAGGAAATAGTTTCTCTTCTAGGGAGAGGATATGGTTATCGTGGAAGACCAGACATGAAACCGAAACAAGGTATTACTAGTACATGGATTAAAATTTTCAATTTATCACCTGTTTCCACACATGGAGTGCAGGTCCAGAAACACCTCAAGTATAGCTAAAGCCTAACCTTTACTCTAGCTCGAGGTAGCAAATCAAACTTTTTGAGAGATTTGAGAATGAACGAGTATTCATATTGTTGGAATTTCATTATGCAGTGCAACTGATAGCAAGATAAAAGAGCATTTTGTGTTGCCGATAACAGTGTTTTTTTAAAAAAATTGCTGCCAAATAAAGAAATTCTAAAACGAAGCTCTAGGTCTCAGCTAAATATATACAAAAGAAGCAAGAAGCACACATTTCATATATTGATTCTGACAGCGATATAATTGGACAAAGGTGAAAATGAAGATGTAATGACCAAGAGAGATGGGAAAGGGGATTATCAAGTATGCTTCGGAGAAAGAATGATGAGAAAACGTACCAAAAGTAAATTAATGGAAACCCATTCTTCTTTAGGAAGCCACTGCTGCAAGGAGACCCTTGTCTCTTCGGGGGATCTAGTTGCCTGACAGAGTCAAACAAGTAGGAACGTTAGTGCTGTGAGTATTTCATCTAAAAAATTTATTAGTTTCTATGATTCTATCTAAACATTTTGTAATCATGAATTCCTTGCATTAGACTCGGTGGGACCTACTCGAGGTAGTGGTAAAGTCTGCGTACACTCTACCCTCTCCAGACCCCGCTTTTGGGACTATAATAGATAACGTGTTTTTCACTATACCTGAGTCCTGACATTGCCCATTGTATTTGAAATCAACTTAGACCTACCAAATACAGATGTACAACCACCTGACAATGTAACAATAGATGGTCTTTGTCTTAACACGAACATCTGCACATGAAAGCACCAACTACTAAAGGTAATCCTCCTTTTTCTCGAGTTTTCCGCCTTCAATATCACTCTCCTTGTTGCCAACCCCGCAAAGAGATCCACCTACTTGGGCATCCCAGGGACCCAAATAGAAAGGTATGGAAAGGTAGACTCCTCTCTCACTAACAAATTCTTGTAACAAGCATATCTGCTTTGGCATCTTGCCCCGGGGAAAGGCTACATCTAGTACCGGACCGATGATTTGGACGACACGCCCTTTGTATGGAAAGGTTGACCCAAGAAAATTGTTTAAAATATTTGTACACACATGACATAGCGTATGTCCCATTTTCTAGTTGCTCATTATAGCAGTGAAGCTTCATCTTAAATAGAATCAAGCATACCTGTTTTGTTCCAGGCCGTGAGACCCAACCAAGCCGATTGCTAACACGATGCACGTGGGTATCTACACAAATCCCTTCAACTTGGTTCCATGCCATAATCATAACCTAAAGGAAAGAGTGATTTTGAGTAACTTGGAAATGTGCAGTGAAAAGAAAATGAGAGAAGCATAACTTCCTACCAGGTGAGCTATCTTGGGACCAACACCTGGAAGTAGAAGCAACTCGTCCACTGTACTTGGAATGTCTCCATCATATTTAGAAACACAAATCTTTGCAACTTGTTTAAGGTGCTGAGCCTTTCTTGTGTAAAATCCAACCTGACAATAGAAGTTGTTAAGTAACTCAGCGTGATGGCAAATGTCGGTAATATCATAAACTGACATCATTGAGAACACATACCGGGTATATCAAGCTCTTTATGGTGGCTTCATCAGCTTTATCCATTGTGTCAGCACTCAGCAAACCATTTTCGAGGAGCCGTTGATTCGCTTCTGCAGATTCAGAGGGCATCCTTACATACCAATAGGAAGCCAGAGAAGAATAGCATAGCCTCATAAATTTTGGAAAATTAATATCTGACTTCAAGTAATCAGAGTAACCTCTAAGATAGGAAGAGGAAATTATATATGGATATGTTACTAACTCATTCAAGAGACACAACCTATCACAAAGAGAACATGACTGTAGTTCTACTAAGAGATAATCACATTATTAACGAGCATCATATAGCTGAAGCTTCCAACACTAGTAATCTTAACACTTGCCATGAGTAACATGACCCTTGGTCTGGCTTGATAACAATGAACCAACCAGAACAGCAAATCTTCTTTCCTGATGAGATTGTGAAGAAGAAAATAGTAATCAACATCAGCAACCTATCAGAAGTGTTAAAATATTATACGAGCTTACTCATTAAAAAAAAAGAAGTAAAAGGACACTTCTGTTCTCAACTTATTCTTATACATGAACACTCCGTTCTAGATTACATTTGAGAGAACTTGGATCATTTAATTTTCAATTCTCTCCTTGGATGGTATATCTGGCCTTCCCTTAATTTAGATGTTAAAATTGCCCTTCCACAAAACCAGCTTGTCAAGGAAAATCCTAAAGAGCAACAAGTTGAGTTTATTTCCCAAAAGGGCTCTAGTGTCATTATATGCCAGAAAATCACCTCCTTGCTTGAAAACTAAACGTAGTTACTCTTTTTTATTAGAGAAAGTACAACACCGTCGAAGAATACAACCACTAACCAAGTATCAAGTCAGCAAAGATGTATGCACCTTAGGTTGAAGAGAAGTCACCCCTTCATCCGGGTCAATGGAGTCTACAGGTGCATGTTCTGATAATCTCATGCTGCGTATACCTTCAATGACTCTTTCCCAGTTGGCAGGAGGTTGTACTGCATCGAATTTGCCAGATCTTAAGTCTTACTATCCATAAGGTTTGTTAAACCCAAGAACTATCCTCAATGATTAAAAAAACAGTTGCAAACAAATAAGGAACAACGTCCTTTTTCTTTTAACAGCAGAATCAACCTTTCTATATGGAGATATAGTTAACAACTAAATGTGCAACGTTCAATATTAATATGAAATCAATAACAACAGAAATTCTTGGTACTCACTTGACTGAGAATAAACATTGTCACTTTTATTTGCAAAATCTTCAATTTCTGGATGCCTGAGAAACTGCAACAAGTTAAAAAATCACATGATTCGTTTCTCCTCCGGCAACCTCAAGAACCAAGGATCTATAGTATTTGATATTTTAAAAAGTCAGTGAAGTACATAGACCACAGAAAAAATTCCTCTTTCACGAAATGATATAACAAAATAATCTTTGAGTCAAACTTAGTATATAGTAATTAATTCAAACTTAATAAATTGCTTGATCACTCTTAGATAGGTCAAGCAAAGTGAGACGATCATTGGATTAATAGTACAATAAGATTGTTCAAAGAAATGGAGCTAAGAAGATAATACAAAAATGTGTGAGTTAACTTGGCCTCAACCAATATTTATGTCTTCAATTTTGGGCGTGCACAAGTAGACACATCTGTCATGCATGACATCCAACATGTATTCATGTATTATACCACATAGGACACGTGTATCCTTGTTTAATTTTATAAAATTAAGTGCACACTTGTACATATGCCAATAAAGAAATATTACAAATCCTTGGCAAGATAAAAGAATGATCACAATCATAAACAAATGGAACCTCCATTATACAGAAGAAAAAACCCAAAACATTACTAATGAATAAAGAAAAAAAAACATACTTTCTTATCTGGAGATTCTGTCTTCACCTCTTTAGCTATCATTTCCACTCTTCTTTTTCTCACTCTGTTCTTGGGAACAACACCATCATCTTCAGAACCTAAAATTAACAATCTTTGATGATTATTACACAAACCCATCTTGAGAATTTGCAAGAAAACATCCAAATTAATGAAAAAGATTACAACTTTAAGCTCAATTTCAAGATTAAAACTTGAAACAAGATGTTAATACTCCAAGATTTAACTAAACAAAACAAAACAACACAACACATTCTTGTAAGATATTCAAAAGCGGTTTCTCTTTTTTGGGTACCTGGGTTTAGCAGAAGAGGATTTTTTCGTGCTTTTGGCATTGCTGTGAAGGAGATGAATCGAATTGGGAACGGAAGTGAAGAGAGATGTGCAGTGTTTCGGAGAAGAGAGAAGGACATTTTTGGAGGGACTGGCTAGAGTTTAAGCCACGTCTTTTAAATTGAAAATGAAAAATTAGAGTCCACCTCGTTGGCATCATTTAAGCGGTAACCACATGTCTCGGCTTCGAGTTCTCCAACTACGGAATTGTGTTTGTCAGGGAGCCGCTTTATCCTTGATATGGAATTTTCAGGCGCAAAATTGATTACGAGTGTAGTCAGGTGTGACAAAGATAGATGTGCACATATTTTACCTTTGACAGAAAGCGTGTAATCTCACAAGTCACAAATGAGGTGTAACAAAGATAGATGTACACATATTTTACCTAATCTTAAAGGTAGAGATGATATTTTCAATAAAATTTGTCTGTTATATTTGAAAAATCTTAGTAGCTAATTCGATTTCCTATCTTCTTCCTCATTTTCTCTTTTCCTACCTCATAAAAAGTCTAGTATTTGTGTATTATTTAAAATAATTTTTTAGATATAAAATTCGAGTTGTCTTAATCTTTATATTTATCAAAATTGAATAAGATTGATAGAAAAATAAACTCCTCCCTGCTCAAAAGTTTCTCATAATAATACTCAACAGAAAATACACCTCCCCCTTTGGTTAAACTAAAAGATCTTCAAGATAATTTTAACCAAAACATTAAACGTGAAGATGAAATTTGGCAATGAAGTCTGATTTACCTCAATGTCATAGCAAACGGGGATTTAACATTTTACAACAACAACAACAACATACCCAGTAAAATCCACTAAGTGGAGTCTGGAAAGAGTAGAATGTAAGAAGACCTTACCACTACCTCGTGGAGGAACTTCTTTTTACAATACAAAGCATAAATGATAAACCTTACATAATAATCAAGCAGCAAGCAGCAAGCAGCAAGCATAGAGTAAAATAAGACGAACTATGATCATTTTTCATCCTTCACTCGAAGATCTTTCAAGTTGATCATGGAGGATACGACTGGCTTAACATAGATCCCAATACTCTCAACGGCATAATCACTCTCGGTGCCATGAAAACCACCAAAAAGACTATGATTTCCTAACTGAAAGTTGAATTGATTGGCACGACTTGTAGGCTGCCCAAATGGTCCATAGGAACCCTTGTTGGTGTTAAATTTAATAGCTTCCAAACCTCCGTAATTCTGATAGGAACCGCTAAGCGAAGTAAGAAACTCTGATGGATAATCAAGCACAACTGCAGAGAAGTTTTCAGAGTTGGCGCAGCCATGCTTATTTGACTGAACAAAGTTGCCATCCTCATAGAACAGGAACTGAAGCGACTGAATTGTGTTTTTGGTGTAGGAAACAAAAATCCCAGCAACTTCGCCTCGTCCATTTTCTTCCCATATGGATCCTTTAAGGCTTCCAACTGGCCCAACATTGATCATTTCCATATTCTCTCTTGCTTCTCACTCAACTGATCTAAGCACAAAGCCATAGCAAAATGTTAAATCTTTATTTAGACTTTAGCTTAGAGTGAATTAACAATTTCTTTAAATTCATATCCTCTACCATTGAACACGAAACTGTCCCTCCACGCTCTTATAGTTCTTCTCACATATAAGTCTATAACAAAGCAAGTCCAACATTTTTGTTTACTAAGAAAACTAGCCATAAAACAGAGTCGTGAAGCGTTATTAGTAAGAGAGGCAGGCACCAGTAGCTTTTTCAGTTCAGCAGTACTAAAGTTTTACCCAAAAAAAAAAAGTGGAAACAACAATGATAACAGTTCGGGCAGCATTTTGGAGGGGAATTTGGTTAGTATTTTGCTATCCAAACTACGGTGAAATTCTATTTTAAATCGGGGAGAACAGTAAAATTTAGATATACAATTTCATTGAGAATTTATTTTCTCATTGTTATATAATATACAAAAGTTTAAATAAAACACACACATCTATTATGAAAAGTAAGGAAAAAAATTGCAGGTATATACAAGGGATTTGTTATATTCTAAAGGGAATTGTTTGTATTTTCCCTCAATTTAAGGAAACTGATTTCTCGCGCCTCAAAGTCATCTTCTTCTTCAATTATACTTGCTACTTTTTCTAACACCCATTGGGCTGGTTAGGCGAAAAATCAGTCACACAATTGTATAGACTAAGCATTAACAATAGATCCAAAATTAACAAAGGGAAATCAAATAAAAAGAAAATGAAGAGAGAGATTAATAGCACCGGAAAATTAACAAAAGACTTACAATTACAGTAAAGGACTGAAAGTGAAGTCGTGGTGGCGATCGGGAGGTGGAAGCGGAAAGATGAAGGACTAAAAGTGGAGGCAAGCACACCAATGTTGACTAAGAGCATGTTTAATACTCCCTCCATTCATTTTTATTTATCATTTTTTTACTTTCTATTTGCATTAAGAATTAATGTAACTTTACCCTTCTATTCTTATTTAATTTTCGGAAAAAGGCCTAAAATATCCTCAAAATATTGAAAATGGTACACAACTACCCATCATCCACCTATTGGTTCCCAAATACCCTCCCCCGTCCACTTTTGGATCCATTTTTAGCTACTTCATTTAAGGAGCATCATTTAAAATAATTAAATAATTCTTTTAATTACGTGACACTCAATCATTGGTTGCAATTTAATTATTTAATATAATTTTAAACCCACCCATTACCCAACCATTTTTAACTAAACCCGCCCCAATACTTATTAAACCCACCCGCACCAATACAAAAAGAACCCTAAAACCTTCGTTCCCTCCTTTTATTTTTATTTGTTACTATTTGACTTGGCACACCCATTAAGGTAGGGGTGTATGAAACCGAATCGACCGATAAACCTAACCGAAAAAAATGTTATTGGTTTATTGCTATTGGGTTATTGGATTAACGGTTTCTTAATGGTTTTATAAAAAAAAAATTATCGGATTATCGATTCGGTATTGATTTTCAATAGCGGGTTATTGGGTAAACCGATAACCCATTAAGAGTTAAGACTATAGTAATTTACTACTTTTACATATACATACATATTAGTAAATATTAATCTCTTTATCTTAATAGTTATGTCTTTGTCATTTAACCATCAATTCATACTTCGCTGTGATTTTGAGTTCATAACTTTACATTATACAAATGTCTAGTTTTTTTCATGTTTGTTATTATTATTTCTATTTTATGAGCTTTTGTAAAGTTACATTATTGTTTTGTCGTGTCAAATTTATTAGAGAAGTCATATATTTATTTTATAAGCATTTTCTTATACCGAAAACCGAACCGTTAAGGACCAAAACCGATAAAAAGTTATCTTATTGGTTCGTTATTGGTTTAGCGTATTTAAAAACCGAAAACCGATAAACCGAACCGATAATACATAAAACCGAACCGAACCGACCGATGCACACCCCTACTGATTAAGGTATTATTTTTCCAAACAATTTTAGGTATTTTCTCGAACTATGTTTAGTATTACGTCTTGGAAAATAATTTAGAGAATAACTATTTAATGCGGATGGTAAAATATGAAAAAAAAATTCTTTTTTTATATGTCAAAAGTGACAAGTAAAAATGAAAAATTATTTTAGAAACAAGTAACAAGTAAAAGTGAACGGAGAGAGTAATCAACATGTACACACTTTGAATTACTTCATTAATTGTTCATTTTTACTTGTCCACTTTGAAATTTGGTCTCTTAAATAATAATGATTGTTATGAGTATTTTATCATCATATTCATATTCATTGAGGTTTAGTTAGAGGCGGACCCACCTTTATCATTGAAGGTGCACGTGAATACGTTAATTTCAAAAAAAATCATGTATATATATGTATGTCTATTTTAAAAAACTGACAGAAATTATAATATAATTAACAGTGCACCATGAAGAGTATAACAATGCTCTTGTGCTGCTGGCATAAGTCAAAAGATCCATGCACCCATCAAACTAGAGTTTGAAACCAGCTAGAGCGCTATGCTTATGGTGAATATGATGCAAAGCAAGACATCAGAAAATCTTAATTTGAGTTCCATTATTGAAGACACCAATGAAGTGGTGGGCTCAGTTACATTATTATGGTCTATTTTGATCAAATACAACTGCCCAATATAAGGATTAGCCAACTTTTTTGTTAGCTAAATTGGGTTGCTTATTTCTGCTGATGAAGATATGTACTTCCTGTTCTCTTTTGCTAAGATTATTGTGGAGTTAATATCTCAAATGGTCACTCAACTATGTATTCATTTCTCAGAAAGTCATTCAACTTTTAATTTTAACTCAAAAGTTATTTAACTATGCATTTTTCTCTCAGAAAGTCACTCAACTTTGAAATTTTATCTCAAAAATAACTCAACTATCAACTTTTTTTTCAAAAAGTCACTCACCTATTAAATTGATATTTTAATTAAAATTTGCTAATATAAATTATTTATATAAAAAAACCAAAATTTTAAAAATAAAAAATATCATTTAAACCATTTAACTATCCACCCACTTGACCCGACCGGCTAAAAATATAACATTGACCCATTTTATTGACTTTTTCTCCTCCTCGTGTGCGTTATTTTTTCTAGTTCGCCATTGATGTTTCTTCTTGGTAGATTATCAGCAGGGAGATGATCTTAGTATAGCTGTGATAATTTTGAGATAAGCTATACTGCAGCATTAGGATATTTCTGACTAAAACGTCTTCTTGATTTTGTGAGTGAATGGAGTGTTTTGTTAATGACAGTTAGCATATTTTAGCAAATTCTTTCCAATTCACTGATATTCCGATCCACCTTCTATGTGGTCAATAATCAGGGTCACTCACATTTGTACTGGAACTCAATTCTTGACTGGGACTTTCTAAATCCTTTCCCGAATTCCAGCTATTCAACTCGAGTAACTGGGAAACTGGACTTGGTGAAAGGCATTTGATCCATCGGCCATTGTTCCCTGGGTTGCTTGACATTTGCTAGCTCATTTTATTTTAAAGGCAGTAACGTGTTCACAAAGAGAAGTTCTTCTGCATAAATGGAGAACAAGCAAAAAATGCAGAGCAGAAAAGGAGAAATAAAGAGAGGGAATAATTTGGGAGATTAAGGGCAAAATAAAATGAGTTATATTTATAGTAGCAAATTTTAATTAAAATAACAGTTAAATAGATTGAGTGACTTTTTGAAAGAAGAGTGGATAGTTAAGTGGTTTTTGAGTTAAAATTCAAAGTTAAGTGACTTTCTGAGAAAAGAATGCATAATTGAGTGACTTTTGAGTTAAAATTCAAAGTTTTAGTGATTTTCTAAGAAAAGAGTGCATATATAGTTGAGTGAGTGACCATCTGAGATATTAACTAGATTATTGTGAAATATAGGATGTATACATAGAGTAAGGCCTAATCCCCTCCCTTATTTTTGTGCTAAGTCATGGAAGAAAAAAAAAAGAGTATAAGTGAACGGACTAAGTAAGAGAAAAGGCCCAAAATAATCCCTCATATTTGGATTAAGACTCAAAATCATCCTTGAGTTTTCACATGGAGCATTAATAGTCCCCATGTTTGCAATATTGATGCACTTTTGATCCTCCTTCAAAATTTTACTTATTTTTTAACATTGATATTATTCATAATTTATGTATGGAATATTTAATCGTCATTTTATATATTTAATAGAAATAATAACTCCATGTGAGAGATTGTGAGAAGAAAAATATCTTATTTTGTTTAGTAGAAATCATATTGCAGGTAAAGTCGAGAGGTTCATCACGACGATTGTACGTACAATAGTACAATTTTTTCTTTTCTTGCAATGTCATATGTTAAAATGTTCTTCGTTTAGTTGCAGTAATATTTATACTGAACAAGGTGTTCTTATTCTCATATTCTCTCACATAGAGTTATTATTTCTACTATATATATAAAAAGACGATGGGACATTCCTTAATTATGAACCAAATTAATGTTAAAAAATAGGCAAAAGTTTAGGGGAGGACCAAAAGTGCACCAATATTGCAAACATGAGGGACTATTAGTGCTCCATGTGAAAACTCAAGGATGACTTTGAGACTTAACCCAAAGATGAGGGACTATTTTGGGCCTTCTCTCGACTAAGTAATTTAAAACATTATTTTAATCCAAGACTGCCGCAGGAAGCTGCTTGAAGAGACTGTTTAAATCTAAATTACCTGTAAGCTTATGTTCTGTACATTAATGATCCAACGCAGTCTCATCAAATTGGAGTATGAAGATACCTTATTCCTACTTGAGATATAGAGATGTTATTTATGATAAAACTAGTATGTTGATGTTGACACCCAATTTTGACCCTCCACAATATAAATTAATCATTTCGAGCTTCTCCAATTTCAAACGATTTAAAATTATTAGTTTTATAAAATTTCTAAAAATAAAATAAAATAATAATAATAATAATAGTAGTAAGTAAATAAGTTTTAAATAAATGAGTTCTTTTACTTAGTTAAAACTTTAAAATTAGTCAAAATTATTTTAGTCAAATCGCCGGTCAACCGCGAGTTAGCGGGCATTCCGAGGGCCTAACACCTTCTCGGAATGTACATTGAACTTCGAACCATTTTATTTTCAATTGATTTTATCTGTTTAAATCTTTTGAAAACCTTGTATTTTTCTTGATTTTTTTTACTAAAAATTAAGTGGCGACTCTGTTCTTTTGAAAATTCGATTTGCTTAAATCATAAGTTTAATCGATTTTTTGAAAACTCAGTCATTTCCCTTTTACATATCTTTTTAAATAAAACATAAATGGCGACTTCCGCTGGGGATTTAATTAAGTTCTAACCATAAGATTTGACTTGTTTGACTAATTGTATTAATTGCTAAATTGTTTATCTGCTCTCAACATGTTTAAATTAATATAACTGTCATTGCATTTCATGGCATCTTCCTATTATATTATAGTATATTAAGGACGGTTTCTGCATAATTGCAGCCGGACTTTTTATACTCAACCCTTTTTCGGAAGGATCGGCAATTTATTGGTACGTCATGCGTCCAATGGTTGTCGTGAATTCCAGCCTAAGTTGTCCACTTGGGTTCCCGGTCTTTCAAAGCCACTCTTAGTCAACTAGCGTAGAGCGAAACCAAATCCCAATTTTTAGCGCATTTTGAACTAGGTCGACCCAACACCCAAGACGTGTTGGGCCCATTAGAAGCCCACCTTGTGTTTATTTGGCCCATTTGCCAATAAAAAGACAATCATACTTATATGTTTTAATTGAAGGATGTATATGTCATTTTTAAACAAATCAATTATCAGGTGGGGGTGGGGGTTTAATTACCTTTGTTTGTTTTTCT